CCCGCTCCACGCCTTCACCCCGACTCCGCCGAGTTTCGGAGCGGCCCAAAGTTTCGGGGCAAACGAGAAAAGTCTCCGGAAAGGCCGCGGAGGGGCCGGTTCACCCCCCAGCCCTCCCCGCTTCCCTCCCTGCTTCATTTACCCCCCTTGCTGCCCCTTTCCCCCCTCCCAGCGCGGCCCCGGCCCGACCCACCGGGACCGGGGGAAGGAGGGTGGCGGAGGCGGGGGCAGCTCCCGGCGGGACCCCCGGTCTGGTCCTGTCCCTAAAAACCTCCTGGGCCGGATCTGCGGAGAGAGGGAAAATATTCACGAGGGGAGGGCATTAAAGAAAACAATATTACATCCCGCGAAAGGGAAAGAGAAAGGAAAAGAAGCCGGGAGCGGCGGTGGAAGGGGCCTGATCTGGCAGCTAAAACTGTCTTAAAATTAAAAAAACTAAAAAAAAATAAGAAAAAAAGGAAGAAGAAGAAAAGAAAAGCCCGCAAGGGCGCAGATCCCACTGGTCGGCCGAGAAGGGGCCGATATTTTAAGGAAAGGAAACGGCCGGTGGGGAAAGAAAGGGCCGGAATTTTTTTTTTTCCTGGCTGGATTCCTTCCCGGAGCACCACAAACCACAGTGCAACGCGCTGGGCGCCGCCAGGAAAGTGCGAACGGGGAAAACCGCACCCGAAAAGGCGGGATAAGGCGGGGGAAGGGGGTAGAGGTGCGGGGATGTCCCCCCCAGCCCGTGGCCGGCCCGGGGGGAGCGGAGCCGAGTGGAACCCCAGGGCGGGGGCTCGCTCGGGACGGTGGGGCCGGGGGGGACTCCGGTCTCGTCGCTGCGCCCACCCGGAGCGGCTTTCTCCGTATCCCTCTTTAATGACCCCAAATCCAGGCGGAACTTTTCCGGCGTGGCTGGTTTTTTCCCCGCTTTGTTTTGTTTTGGAAGCGAAAGCGTTTGAATCCCCCTTCAAGAACCGGTATCAAAGTCTCTTTTTTTAAAAGCTATTGATTGCAAAAGTCTTATTTAAACCAACACATTTTAGTTTCTCACATTTTAAAACATCATCTGGGGCCCATTGTATGGAAAATCGATTAGCAGGAATTGCCACGCTCTTTGCCTCCCGCTTGATTGTTGGAAAATCGAGACATCCATAGGCAAAGACTGGGCTGGGAAAGGTTTGGAACCGAAATGAAAGGGTTTGCGAGGGATCTATAGGCACTAAATAATTCACCTGCCAGGCGATGGTGCTGTTATTTTGAAGCCTTAAAGAACTTTAAGGAACTTTTGGCTCCCGGCGGGGTGCGCGGAGCCGCGTCCCGGCTCCTTCTCCCTCCTTGCCCGGTAAACCCCGACGGTTTGGCCGGTGCCCGGTGCCTGCTCGGCGAAGGCACCGCCCGCGGTGCGGCCCCTCCGCTGGGGCTGGTCCCGGCCGGGTCGTTTGTGCTTTCGCGCTGTTCCTAAGTGGGATGGAAAAATAAAAAAAAAAAAATAAAAATAATATAGATCTGAGCGCAAAGCAACTCAGGAGCTTCCCATCGGCACCGGTGGGCAGGGGTACCGGCAGGGTACCGGCAGCAGTGCTCGTCCAGCCTCCCACACCCCTCCCCCGGCTCCCGGGCTGCCCCCCCGCCCCACACCGCCCCTCCTTTGCGGGCCGCCCCGAAAGTCCCGCACGGCCCGGGGAGGAGCGGGGGGCAGCAGAGCAAGGGTGGGGATGCAGAGCGGAGCTCTGCGAAGCTGGAGGGGTTTGGGGTGCCTTTGGGGGAGGGGGGGGAAACTACTGGGTCCGCGCCCTTTCTCTCCCCGCTCGCCCCGTCCGAGCGAAGCCGCTGCGGGGACGTGGCGGGGCTGTGTGGGGGGTGGGCCGGGGGGAGCTGCCCCGGGGCCCCATTCCCCCCTCCGCACTTACCGCTCTGCGCCCCCGGGTGCCCGCACCGCCCGGCTCCGCTCGGAGCGCTGCCCGGGCGGCTGCGGAGGAGCAGAGGGAAGGGAATTAAATAGAGAGAGGGAGCTCAGGAAGAAAGAGGAGGCGAGGGAAGGGATCAATAGCATCCAGCTGGCGAATGGAGCCCGGGCCTCTCCCCCGCGCTGCGCCCCGGCCCATCGCCAGAGCCTCTGGGCTCTCCGAGGGGCTTCCCCCGGGCCGGGGCAGCCGTGCAGGCAGCGAACCCCGCGGCTCACACGGTCTCGCAGCGGCTCGGCCCGGGGCCGGCCCCGCACCGCTGCCCGGGGAGCTCCCGCAGCCTCCCCGCGCCCCGGCCCCGCGTGTCTCGGTGCCTTTCGCCTGATGATATTGCATCGATCGGGGAAGGGCCGGGAGGGCGGGGAGGGGGGCGCGGGGCTACCGCATTACTCAATTATGTCGCACTAATTACTAAAAAGTCCCTCTCTTCTGTGCTGTTTGCTCGGTGCAGAGCTGGGCGGAGGGCAGAGTCCAGCGCCCGTCCCGGGGGGCCCTCGGTGCTGCGGGCCCGGCGGTGCTGGGGGGGGTGTGGGGGCTCCGGGAGCCCGGCCCGGGGACGCCGTGCGGGACGGCAGCTGCAGGGATAGATCTATCGATGGGCGGTCGATGGGCCGGTCGATGCGCTATCGCCATTATTACACTCAATGAAACCCTTCCAGACGCGGCTGCTTCATCCCTGGTTTGTTCCCCACCTCCTCCTCGCCGCTCACCTCGGCACCCCCTCCCCTCAGCACCCTGTGGCGCTGCCCGGCTCCAGGAGGCACCTCTGCCCATCGCTGCCCGGATCTGGTCATCCCCTGCCCACCCCTGCCCGACTTCGGGCCTCGACGTTCATTTCTGTTCGGCTCCAGACCCCCCTGCCCATCCCTGCCTGACTCCAGACCCCCCTGCCCATCCCTGCTCGATTTCGTGTTCCGTTATTGGCCTGGAAGCCCCCTCTTGCCCACCTCTTGCCCAGCTCTTGCCCACCTGGATACTGCGGATTTCGCATCCCCAGCGGAGTCTCCGGGACGCGGCTCCCTCAGTTTTGGGGATCCTGCTCATGGCCCGCGGATCTTCCCGGCAGGGACGAACCGACGGGGATATCGAGGGAAGGGTGGGAGTCCTTCCATATCCCGGCTCGGTCGGGCCCATCCCGGCTCCAGCGGGCTGGATCGCTGCATAGGGGGCAGAAAAGGGGCTGAGAAGAGACCCCGACTCTCCCCTCTGTTCATCAGCTGCCCTGCACCCACGTCCCGGCAACTAACGGAGCTTTGTTGTAATGAACCGGGCGCCTAATCGATTTTCCAGAGGTGGGATGGGGTGGGATAGGGTGGGATAGGACAGGCTGGGCTGGAACGGGTGGGAATGGCTTGGGTGAAATGCACTGAATTCGGACAGTCAATGTTAAATGTTGCTGAATTATTCCCTGCACAGCCGGGTGGCGGGGGAGACACTCCGAGCACCGACCTGCGGCTCCCACTCCCGGGAGCGCCGGGCCCCGCTGTCCTGCCCCGCACAGACGCCCCTCGGTCGCAGGAGCCCCTCGGCAGTGGCCGGGGACGGAGCAGCCCACGCGGAGCTGGAAGGGTCCACCCGCTGGAAGCTGCGGATTTTATTTTTATTTTTTCGCTCTGTTCAATAAAGCTTGGGAAAACAGCATGTGCCGGCCTGGAGGAGCGGGAATGGCCGGGAAAGGCCAGAGTGGGCCGAGGAGCCCAGCTCGGGGCAGCAGAACTGAGGGCGGCTGGGAATGCGCCTGGAAGGACACCGAGCACCAGCCCCTCCGGTGGCCTAAACCCAGCTCGCGTTGGCTGCTCATCCCGGCTTCCTCCCCTTCTGTACCGTTCCCTTTCTATTTTCCCTTTCCCTTTCAGTTTTCTCTTCTCATATTCCATTTTCCCTTTCCATTTTCCATTTCCCTTTCGGTTTTCTCTGTCCATTTTCCCTTCCCGTTTTTTCTTTCCCTTTCCCTCCACCACGACTGCCCAGGGCCCTGCAGCACCGTGTGTGGCCCCACGAGTGTCCCTGTCACCTCCCCTCCTCGTGCCAAGGAGAACCCCCTCTCTTCCCGAGGCAGTGCCCACGGGGGTCTGCGGGGAACGGCGGTGATGGTGGGGAGACACGCCTGGGAAAACACGGATGTGCGGGGACAGGGCAGGATATCTGGGGTAGACGAGGACAGCCAGGCCCTGGTGAGGGACACAGGGGGGTGGTGGGGGCGTCGGGGACAGGCTCGGCCAGGGATGGAGGTGGATCAGGGGTGGAGGCGGTCAGATGTGTCTGTGTGTGTGTGTGTGGGGGGAGAGATGGGGTCAGCCAGATGTGCGGGGGCGCAGGTGGGCACATCACACCCTCACATCGCACCCGCAGCGCTGCCAGACGCGCGCTGGGCACCGGGTGCGGGGGATCACGGCGGTGCGGGGGGAGGCGTGACACCCGGTACGGGGAGGGTCACCCCGGTGTCAGGGGTCGCCCGGCGAGGCGGGGGGGGGGAGGTTGTCACCCTGGCGCGGTGGGTGTCACCCAGGCGGGGGTCTTGGTGCGGGCGCGGTGCAGCCCCGCGCTCCCCCCGCCCATCCCACCCACACCCCACACCCCCCCCCCCGCCGGCACCGGGAGAGGTGCGGGGGGGCGGCTCGGGGCGGGGCGGGGCGGCGCTGACGTCACGGCCGAGCCACAGCGAGGCTGCCGGGAGCCGGCGGCCGAGGCACCGCAGCCGCCCCGCACCGCGCCCCGCGCCCCGCTCCGCCGAGCCCCCCGCTCCGCCGAGCCCCGCGCCCAGCAGCGCGGCCGGCGGGCGCACCATGCCGGCCTGACCGCGGGGCGCGGACATCGATCCCCCCCGGGCGCGGAGTCTGAATTAATCCGGGCAGCCGGTGCGGGGAGGGGGGGGCGGCGGTGGAGGAGGAGGAGGAGGAGGAGGCGGCGGCGGCGGCGGCTGCGGGGGGGTGGGGGAGGAAGGCAGCGAGCGAGCGGGCGAGGCAGCGGCAGAGCCCGGCGGCCACCATGGAGCTGGCGATGGAGAACCTGGGCAGCCTGCACGGCGTCCCGCACTCGCAGCCCGCCGAGCTGCTGAGCCCCGCGCACGGGCGGCAGAGCTCGCACCGCAACCTGGTGCCGCACGGCCGGCCAGCCATGGTCTCGGGCATGGCCTCCATCCTGGAGGGGGGCGATTACCGCGGCGAGCACAGCCTGGGCGCCCCGCTGCACCCCGCCATGAGCATGTCCTGCGAGTCGCCCTCCGGCATGAGCCTGAGCAGCACCTACACCACGCTGACCCCCCTGCAGCACCTGCCGCCCATCTCCACCGTCTCGGAGAAGTTCCACCACCCGCACCACCATCACCACCACCACCACCCGCACCAGCGCCTGGCCGGCAACGTCAGCGGCAGCTTCACCCTCATGCGCGACGAGCGGAGCTTGGCCTCCATGGGCAACCTCTACAGCCACTACCCCAAGGACATGCCGGCCATGGGGCAGCCCCTGTCGCCGCTGCCCAACGGGCTGGGCAGCCTCCACAACGCCCAGCAGCCGCTGGCCCCTTACGGCCCCGCCGGCCACTTGCCCAACGAGAAGATGCTCTCGCCCAACGGCTTCGACTCACACGCCGCGATGCTGTCCCGGGGCGAGGAGCACCTGGCGCGGGGGCTGGCGGCGCCCAGCTCGGCCATGATGCCGCCGCTCAACGGGATGCACCCGCACGGCCACCCGCACGGCCAGCCCGGAGCGTCGCTGCTGGGCGAGCGGGAGCGCCCCGCGCCCGGCCCCGGCTCCCAACCCGGCGGCTCCGGGCAGGTGGAGGAGATCAACACCAAGGAGGTGGCTCAGCGGATCACGGCCGAGCTGAAGCGGTACAGCATCCCGCAGGCCATCTTCGCGCAGAGGATCTTGTGCCGCTCCCAGGGGACCCTCTCGGACCTGCTGCGGAACCCCAAGCCCTGGAGTAAGCTCAAGTCCGGCCGGGAGACTTTCCGCAGGATGTGGAAATGGTTGCAGGAGCCGGAATTTCAGAGGATGTCGGCGCTCAGGCTGGCAGGTAGGACACGGCACGGCACGGCACGGTACGGCTCGGGCCGCCCGCTCCGCACCTGCGGGCAGGGGGGATCGGGAGGGGTGCTGCTAAACACACATGGGAACCCCTCCAGGGTTTCGGGGTGCGAACTGGGGACGGGCTCGGCAGGGTGCTGCCGACCCGGTTTTTGTAACATTAAGACCAAAGGGAAGGGATTTAGATTTAAGGCGAGTTATATCTAAGGAGACCCCCCGGCTCCCCGGGCCTGCTGCTGCCCGCGAGAGATGCGGGGTCGCGAGTGGAGCTCCCCGGTCCGCCTGCCTCTGGGATTTCCCTCTCGGTCCCGCCGAACTAGTCGCTTGGCCCCGGGAGTATCCGGCCCCCGGGGCCGCTGCTGGAGCTCCTCCGCCGTCGGTACCGGGGCCGCGCTCTGGGGAAGCTCCGAGCCACCCCTCCGGTCACCGGCTGCGCTCGGCAGGAGGAACGGGACCCCCCTGTCCGTGTCTCCGGTTCCCGGCTGGGTCAGGGTCCCGCAGGGCCGATCCCCGCGGCCTCGGACCGGCGCTGGGCCGAGGCTTCGCTGGAGAAACGTGGCTTTTCTGTGCGGAGGGAGGGCGGGGATCGCGGGGAAAAACGCCAAGGGGGGGCATAGAGGGGTCAGCGGCGAGCGGGGACATGCCCCGGTGCGACCCACCACCCCCGGCACGGAGCCGCTCCCCTGGGGAAGGGCCGGAGCTCTCGGCTCCGTGGGGCCGAGCCGTGGCGGAGAAAACACGCGTGTGCGATTTTTAATTTATTTTTTTAAGAAATCCGAGCTCCCCGCGGAGCCGGGCAGAGCCAGCGACGAGGACCCGCCGTTATTTATGGGGGAGAGCAGCGTTCATATGTATTTAGTGTAATTCAGTTGCTCTTTAATTAGGGCAGGGTAGTGGCATCTTTTAGTTCCAGTCGATGCCCTATTGAAAAGCAGTTAATAGAATGCAAATTGTTCCTGGCTTTACAAGGTTCTGGTAAATAAAGATTTAAACACTGCCGCGATCGGCCGTTTAATGCCCCCGTTGTTGGGGCTAATTGAACAGTGGGCTTGGGCTTCTGC